CATGAAATGTTCAACTCAAGGACTCAAAGATACTTCTCAAAAGGGATTAGGAACTCAACACTTAAAGGCTTAGAACTTGAAGATACCATTTTTCTAAGAGATGCTCAACTTACGAAGTTCATACGAAATTATGGGCATGAAACAACTTAACTCGATGGTCTACATAACTATATGGAACTCATGTATACGACTCTTCTTATTCTCTGACTACTTCCTCAAAACTTAGTTCAAATCGATAGTTGATCTCAAATGATTCACAATTGAACTCAAAGGCTTTCTTGAACTCTACTCTTAACTCTCTCTTGAATGTGAATAATGAATTCAAGAGTTATGGTTCATGATAAGAAAGATCTCATGATGACAAGGTAGACTCATGAATACATTATTCTCACTCTTATACTCACTTGCTTGAGTCTTGAAACAAGTTATTAGAATTTGTAGAAGACTCCTACAAAAAGGACTTAAAGGACTTTCTTAGAATGTTCGAAAGAATTCTCAAAAACTTAACTCTTAACTCTACCTTGAACTTGAATTATGGATTCAAGGTTGTGATTTGTGATAGGAAAGATGTCATGATGTTTAGGATTGATTTTAGATAGCTAAACATGAGAAAAGATAAAAAATTCACTGCTTGGAAGTTAGTCCGCGACGCGAAGACGCATTAAAATAATTGGTCGCGAAATAACTTTTGAGGCAGAGAGGTCCGTGACTTCTCCGCGACACGAGGACAACTTTATGAAATAGGGAGGCAGGTCCGCGACTCGGAGCCACGTGCCATATTTGCCCGACTTTTCTCTTCTTCGTTTTCTAACCCCAAATCGCCTAAATTCGATTCTTTTGCTCAACTTTTCTTTAGATTCAGATAACCATCACATGTACACAAGAATCTAACTCAAAACTACTCTATAAATCGAAAACAATTATCTCAAGAACTCCTAAATCTCAGCCCAATTCAAGGAATGAAAGAAAATTCAAGAACACATATCAATAACATCAGACTTTCAACTTTCTAGAACGACCTTAACGTTGAAATTTACATGATTGGCGTGTGGGTGAACAAACCCAACACTATGGAAGCTTACATACCTGAAAGAACCATCTTCTTGCAGTACTTGAAGGAATTTTTTTGAGAGATGAACCCTAGCCTTAGCGTTTTCTTGAATTTCTTGAGCGTAAAATCTTTAGAGTGAATGAGAGGGTTTAGATTTAAGAAAACTGATTTTCTACACGTTTAGGGCAATTTAGATGACCTCTTAAGGATTTTTAGGACTAAAATACCCCTAAAGAAATAATTAAAACGAGCTGGGAGTCGGAAAGATCTTTCACCAGGCAGTGAGGTCCGTGTTGGCTCCGCGTCGCGGAGCTGCTGCCAGGTTTGCGTGACGTTAGTAAATCCGTCATAACTTTTTACTCAGAGCTCGGAATTGAGCAAACTCGGTGGCGTTGGAAAGACGACTCAAAAGGCTTTCCTAAGGTATCTGGTAGCACACCTAAATCATCTTGATCTAGGAGTTATGGTCGTTTGAAGTCAACCTAAAACTCATACTTAGCTTAACTTGCAAAATTTCAGATTTTGCTATTTCCAATTCGATTCTTTAATTTTTGGAACTCAAGGTGCTACATCTAGTGACCTTAACACTCAAGAAATTTTAAATTTCCTTTGCAAAATACTCACTCACTACGAAGAACGGTTCAAGTCTTAGCTCAAAAATATTCTGGGGTTTTACAATTTTTTTAATAAGATACTTAAGCAAAATATTTTTAAATTTAGAAAGGTAATAGAGTATTTAGAGGGTGTTTGAATTGACGTAAAAGTTGATCAAATATATTTTTAAGTCAGTTTTTTACTTTTGAAAATGTTTGGCAAATATAAAAAAATAACTTCAAATAATAATAAAAAAATGACTTAAAATAAGTTAAGAAGTGTTTGGTAAGGTAAAAAATGACTTAAAATAATCAAAAATCAAAAAGTAGGTTTCCCCATACTTTTTATTTTTTTACTTAAAAGTCGTATAGTCATTTCAGTTTAACTTTTTATTTTTGACTTAAAATCTACTTTTTTAAGCCAGTCTAAACAGACTCTTAGTAGGCATTTGGTCATGCGATACCATATCATGATATGGAATCGTGAGATGAAATCAGCGTTTGGACATGCAATTTCACGTTGATTCTATTTCATGATTTCATATCATGAG